GCGGCCCTGCCACCCGTCCGCTCGGGAAGGGCCCAGGGTCCTGTCTGGTGCTGATCCCGCGGCACGGAGGGCTGCCCGCTGTAGGGAGCGGGCCCACAGCGGCGAGCCAACCCCTGGCCTGCCCTGCGCCTTGGGATGCAACGGGGAAGTGAGACCCCGAAGGGCAGGAGCCTCAGCACCCAGCACCCAGGCCATGGCCGGACACCATGTGCTGGGACCGCAGCCACCTGTGGGCTCAGGGACGAGTGGAGGACAGATGTGGAGAAGCGGCTGGGCCGGCGACAGACACCCCAGCCAGCCCCAGAGCAGAGGGCAGAGGGCAGGCACGTGACTTGCAGGCGTGGGGCCACTCCGAGCGCAGAGCGGTGGCCCAGCCCAGAGGACCCTATGGCTGAGCGAGGACGTGCCACCCAGCCGCCCCCGGCAGCCTGTGGGTGACCCGGTGCGCTCCTGAGCCATGCTTTCAACGCTGTTGAGAACCGGCTGGCCACCGGGATGGGCGCGGCCACCCGCCCTTCTGCGTCCCCACTGTGCCTGGCTAGGTTGCCGTGGGGTGATTTTCAGTCGTTTGTCCTGTGTTTGGGATCATAGAGCTTGCACTCTGGGAAACCCGTTTTCTTCTCATCGATAAAGCCGTTGCCGGACAGGATCCCTGGAGGCTGCTGTGTGTCTGAGCTGGGCCGGCGGCTCCCGGGGGGGGGTGGGGGGGGGGAGATTTGCGGGGCGGAGGGGCAGCCGTAACTCTGGGCGGGCGCTGCCAGCCTGGCTCTCAGCCTTGGGCGGGTCGTCCGGGTCTGCTCGGCCCTGCAGGCAGCCGCCCTCGAAGGCAGGGAGTGGCTTCCCTTGGGAGCACTTGTTACCCACAGGAACGGAATCCGTTTCTTTCTTTTCTCATTTATTTGGGCCGCACCCTGCGGTGCTCAGGGATCACCGCTCTTGGGTTTAGGGTTTAGGGAACCATATCGCGTCAGGCACACGCAAGACAAAAGCCCCGGCCCCTGGGAATGAAGTTCTGAAGAAACGCGCTCCTAGGAGTGGTCGGTCTGGATTCTTCCGGCAGCTTCTCTACTGCCTAAACGCAGGGTCACCACACTTCTCTGGCCCTTTCTAGGAAAAAAATCATTCCCTGCGCCCCGGCCCCCGGAAACCTCCCTTCTTCAGAGACAGAAAGGCCCAGCCGCACCCTGGGGAGCCACATAGGGAGCCGCCTAAACACCCCAGCCCTGAGGGAGGCTGCAGGGAGCTGGACCTGAGGCGGGCTCTGAGGCGGGTGCTGAGGCAGGCTCCCTTGCTGGAGAGGATCGTGAGGGACCAATTCTCCCAAGGTCTGTGGACAGACAGCAGCTGCGTGACCTGTGGGCTGAGGGGCTGTGCACCCTCCACAGGGCTCCTGCGTCCCTTCCTCAGCCCCCCTCCCCGAGGAGGGAGCTGACAGATGGCGCAGCTGCGGGCCTGTGGGTGGGGAGGGAGAGAGGGGAATGGAGGGGCAGGGAGGGACAGGGAGGTTGGGTGTCAGGGAGGACGGGCAGGAGCGTGCTGTCCAGAGATGTCCTGCAGCTCCCTGCCCGGACTCTCTGTCCCCATAGGTGGGGTCCCAGGGTGGGGCTGCCAGAGGTGGGACACGCTGTGGAATTCAGGTGAGGGACACGCTTTGGATTTCGGGGTGAGGGACACGCTGTGGATTTTGGGATGACGGACATGCTGTGGATTTCAGGGTGAGGGACACGCTGTGGATTTCGGGGTGAGGGGCACACTGGATTTCAGGGCGAGCAGACATGGAACTCAGGGGGGCGGTCACTGGGTCTGGGTGGTGGGATGTGCGTAGAATTCCTGGTGAGTCGCGGTGGGATCAGAGTGAGGCCTTGTGTGGTGGTGTGAGGCCAGAGCTGCCTCGTGGCCCTGCAAACCATCCCCGCATGGGCCGGCGGGGGCAGGGACCGGCCTGTTCTCTGTTCCACCCAGGCCCCCGCCCTGGGCTCGGAGGGGCTCCCTCTGCCGTGGCCCCTCCCTGGCCCTCCTGCATGCGCTACTCAGGCTGTCGAGGGTCCCGGGAGCGTCGCACCCACTGTCTGGCCCGTGGCAGCAGAGCCGGCCTGGGCTGCCCAGCGCGGGGCACCCACAGTGGTCCGAGCCAGCGCCCTGAGCCCGGCGGGAGTGAGCGCCATCTGGCTGGAGCCTGAGCCTGGCGCTGCGGCCGTCAGGGCTTGAGTGAGCCCCCCGGGTGGCCCTTGGGAGCTGCTGGCACATTCTGAACATCATCAGCCCGGTCCCTGTGTCGCCCTTGGCGCCCTCACGTGGCCTCTCGGCAGGGTGCCCGCCACGGGTCTGGGGCTGCTCCCTCTCGCGCCTCCGAGGCCAGGACGCCTGTGGTCTGGGCGGGGCTTGGGCAGGCCCAGGATACCGGGTCCAGCACGGCCTGGGCTCCTGCTCCTGGGGGGACGCGCTCTGTCTGTGGCAGTGGGGTTGCAGCTGCTTCCTGCTGCTCACGCTGGGGTGGGCTGCAGCTCAGGGACGCCACATCCTGGCCGGAAGGACTCGACTGTTGGCCGCCAGACACGGCCCTGTGGCTCGTTCTGCTGCTCTGTGGCTTCTGTGCCAGCCCTGCTCCGGGGCCTGACCGCCTCCCTCCCCCCTCCTCCCTCCTCCCTCCTCCCTCTTCCCTTCCTCACTCTCTTCCTCTCCTTCTCCTGCCCACCCTCCCTCTCTTTCTCTTTCACTTTTTTCTCTCTTTCCCTCCTTTTCTTTCTCCTTCCTTCCTTCCTTCCTTCCTTCCTTCCTTCCTTCCTTCCTTCCTCGTCACCCAGCAATGCTCAGGGCTAACTCCTGGCTGTGGAGTTACTCCCAGCAGGTTGCAGGGACCATTCAGGCTTCTCGGGACTGGCCCCGGCTCTGCCATCTTTGTACAAGCCAGATACCCTCCCCGTGGGACTGTCGCTCAGGCCCCTTCCTGTTTTTTCTGATGACGAATCCAGCCTGGGGATCAGGCCGCTGCGGTCTCTCCAGCGCGGCCCCGTCCCAGGGTCCCACTACCAAGGCCCGGTGAAGGTGAGATGCAGTGTCCCCCCCCCCCCCCCCCGATCCAGTGCGGAGCGGCTGTGGGACCTGTGTGTGCGGCTGAGGGCAGTTCCAGGCCATGTGGGCGCCAAGGTGCCGACCCGGAACCGGCCCCACTCCCCGCCCAGGACTGCCCTCTGGTTGGACAGTGCATCCACCTCAGGGGAGTGGCGGGTCTGGCGTCAACAACGCTCATGCCCGTCTGGCTTCCCCGTGCCCCCATCCTGATGCCCGGGCCCTGTCCACACAGACTCTCGGCCCCTCCCCCGCCAATCACATCCAGTCCCGTGACCGGCCCTGCTGTGGGTCCCTGTCACCCGTCCTGCGTCTGTGAATGGCCTCCACCCACCCCGTGTCCCCGGACCCTGTCCACTCACCCTGTCCGAGGTCCTGCTGCGCCTGCAGGACCCGCCGACGGTGACCTCCCTGACCACCGTCCTCGTCCTCATGCCGAGTTTGCACACAGAACCTTTTGTTCCTCTTCTTGGCCCTGGAGCACACGGAGCAACAGGGGGACATTCTTGGAGCCGGGCGGTAGCGGGGCCGTGACACGGGGGCTCGGGTGGGGGCTGCAGGCCTCGGGACAGCAGGGACCCACAGCGAGGCTCACACTGGGACCAGGCGGCTGGCGCGGAGGCTGGCTGGAGCCCCTCAGCTTCTGCAGTGAGGGGCGTCCAGCCGCTCTCCCCCGGCACTGACCGAGCGAGCGCTTCTGAAGCCACGCCTGTCCCCAGGCCCGCGGTGACCGCTCCGGGCAGCCCGGGAAGCCGCGAGGGGAGCAGAGCCGGTCTGAAGGTGGCAGCTTTGCTCTGTAACCCGAGGCCCTTCCTGCGGCCACCCTGCTGCCCCACCCTGACCCCGCCCAGCACGGCCAGCGCTGACCCGCCTCACCCGCCAGCCGCTGTTTCCGGCTGGAGCCCCTTGTCTGGTGGCGGCAGAGTGGGGCCCACTGTGGGCTGGTTGTGCTCCCGCCCGCCTCTCCCTGCCCTGCTCACACCCCGGGGGTCCCCTCCGCATCCCCCTCTGGGCAAGGCGCCCTCCCCTCTCCCCCTTGTCCAGTGGCAGGACGCAGCTGTTCCCCTTCGCAGACGCACTGCGCTGTGAGGTGCTCATGGGGAAGAACACCCCAAGGCCCCAAACTGGTGTCCCTAAATGAGGACCTGCCTCTGGTGGCCAGCGGGTGTCTGCCCAGAGCCACCCGAGTGGCACAAGCTTCTGTTCTGCTCTAGGGGGTCAGCCGTGTCCGGTCCCTGGGGGTCAGGGTTGTCCAGGCCATGGGGGTCAGGGCCGCCGTCAGGGCTGTCTGGGCCGTAGAGATCAGGGCCGTTGTCCAGGCCGTGGGGGTCAGGGCCACTGTCCGGGCCGTGGGGGTCAGGGCCGCTGTCTGGGCCGTGGGGGTCAGGGTCACTATCAGGGCTGTCTGGGCCGTAGGGGCAGGGCCGTTGTCTGGGCCGTGGGGGTTAGGACCACTGTCCGGGCTCTGGGGGTCAGGGCTGTCTGGGCCCTGGGGGTCAAGGCTGCTACCCAAGCCGTTGGGGTCAGGGCCGCTGTCCAGGCAGTGGGGGACAGGGCTGTATCTCAGTTCTGGGGCACGGGACCGGGTCTCTGTCCAGGCCCACGCCGCTGCCTGGTGCCCGTGCTGGAAGGGTCAGCCACGCGGCGGTGCAGCGGGTTTCTCTCGGCGCCGGCGTGGTCTCCGGGGCACAGGCTGGCACGGCGGGGATGAGTCAGCTGCGGCTCTTTCCAGGAAGCCTCTGCGGCGTCACTCCCTGGCAGCCTTCCCACCCGCCCGCTGCTCCGGGGCCGGGGCTCCCCGTCCGTCCCTGGCAGCCCTGAGCCCCTCTGCGGGCCAGCTCAGGGCTGGCGGGGGCCGTCCACGCGCTGCCCCCCATGTGCGTGCTGTGCGGCCGGGATGACGGTGAGGCCGGTGCCCCTTGCCCCCGCAGTGTGCCGGCGAGGAGAGCTGGGTGGACAGCCGGACCATCTACGTGGGACACAAGGAGCCCCCGCCCGGCGCCGAGGCCTACATCCCGCAGAGGTATCCGGACAACAGGATCGTCTCCTCCAAGGTGAGGCGGCCGCCGCCCCCTCCTTCCCACCCTCCCCGCCCCCTCCTCTCCCTCCTCCCTCGCCCTCCTCCTGGAGTCCTCCACGGCGAGGCTTCCCAGGGCCCACAGGGTCCCGGCGGTGGGTCCCGCCCACGTGCGAGTGACCCAGAGGAGGGCAGAGGCTGGCGTCAGGCAGGCAGGACGGTCTCCTCCGATGCAGCCACACCTGGGTGCTGAGGGACGGGCCACTGACCCTCCCTGGGCTTGGGGGTCCTGGGCTACCCCCCGTGGCCCCCAGTAAGGTTCTCCTGCAGGAGAAGGTGGATCCGGGTCCCACACTGCTGGTGCCTGGAGGGGCGCCGTGGGCAGGGGGGCTTGCGTGTGTTTGCGGCTGCTCTGGCTGTGCTGGACCCGGCAGAGTCCCAGGCAGGTGCCATCACGTCCTCTGCGTGCTGGGCCTGTGCTGAGCACCCAGGGGCTCTGGGACTGGGAACTTTGTCTGCAGGGGGCAGCGGGGCCTGGGGAGAGGAAGGAGGGAGCCAACAATGACCACAGCTCTCGTGGGGGTGCACATGTGTGTTCATGTGTGTCTGTGTGTGCAGTGTGTGCATGTGTCTGCATGTCTGCGAGTGTGCATTGGATGTGAATTGTGTGCATGGACACATCTGCGCGTGTGTTATATGTCCATGTGCATGTGTCTTCATATGTGTCTGCATGCTTGTTTCTTGAGTTCATGTCACGTGTTATGTGTGCCTGTGCACATGTGTCCACATGTGTGCACTGTGTGCATGTACCTCTATTGGCGTGTGTGTGCATGTGCACGTGTCCGCGGTGTGCACGCACATTTGCATGTGTACATACATTTGCCTTTGCGTTTGCGTGTGCATTGCGCGTTGATGTGTATGTGTGTACATTGTATATGCATCCTTGTGTGCATATGTCTGTGTGTGCATGTGCACGTGTGTCAGCATGTGTGTGTTATGCATGTGCATGTGTGCATGAAGCTTGTGTGCCTGTACAGCATGTGCTCATGCGTGCATCGCATCTATGTACGTGTGTGTGCATGCGTGTGCAGGTGCACATGTGTCCAATATGTGTGTGCGTGCACACCCCCCACAGCCAGCTGGGGCCAGCTTCCTCCTGCCCACCCGGAGGCTCTGGGCCACGCCCGTGGCAGGAACGCCCGCTCATGGCCCATGGCTCTCCGTAGTACACCTTCTGGAACTTCATACCCAAGAACTTATTCGAGCAGTTCCGGAGAATAGCCAACTTCTACTTCCTCATCATCTTTCTGGTCCAGGTATGGCGCCTGCCTGTCGCTCCGGGGGGATCCGCTGGGCTCTGATGCCCAGGGGAGCCGGGCCTGGGGCCTGGGCCAGCGCTGGGCCTCTGCACTCAGCAGCGCCCGGAGTGGCTGGGGCTGCCTCAGCCTGTTCCCCTGGCGAGCAGGAAGGCGACCAGCCCTGTCCCTGCCCGCTGGGTCCCTCGTCACCGACATGCGCGGGGCAGCCGCAGCAGGGCAGGGGTACGGGCAGGAGCGGGCGCCCCTGCCCCCACCGAGCGCCCGCCTCTGTCCCCGCAGCTGATCATCGACACGCCCACCAGCCCCGTGACCAGCGGCCTCCCGCTCTTCTTCGTCATCACCGTCACCGCCATCAAGCAGGTACGCAGGAGGCCCGGGCAGGGAGGCTGCGCCAGGGCTGGGTGCGGGCTGGGGCCTTGGCCCCGGTCCCGTCCCCGTCTCCATCCCCACCCCCGCCCGGCCCCGACCTGTCCCGTCCCATGCAGGGCTATGAGGACTGGCTGCGGCACAAGGCAGACCGGGCCATGAACCAGTGCCCCGTCCACTTCATCCAGCATGGCAAGCTGGTGCGTAAGCAGAGCCGGAAGCTGAGGGTGAGTCGGGCCCGGGCACTCCTGGCAGGGGCTTGGGGTGCGACACGGGGGCTCTGGGTGCTGGGACCCCCAGAGGAGACCAGGCTGGTCGCGGCCACGGCCCCCTGCATCCCCCGTCTGCCTGTGCTGCCGCCTCCCTGCCACGGGCGGACATGTGGCCCAGCGCAGCTGTGACACCCGACTCCGAGGCGCCCGGTGCTAACCAGGCCTGGCCTGGCCCTGTCCTCGGGCGAGGGACGCTCCGCTGGCCCCGCTGTGCCTGCCTGCGCCTGCACTCCTCGTCCTTCCCGGGTGGGCACCGTGCCCCCCACTCAGTGCTGACCAGAGGGCGGTGCCTCCTGTCCCGGCCAGCTCCTCCAGGCCCACAGGTGCCCGTCCTGACGTGGGCCCAGAGTGGCCCGTGTGTGGGAGACAGCGGTCTACGTCTCGCGGGAGTGGTGTGGAGTCACGGGACAGCCTGGCCGGGGCTGCGGTGACGGGCCCCTCACGCACCTCCCACGCTCTGCCTGGCTCGCTCTGTCCACCTGCCCACGGCCTTCCTGCTGTCCTCGGGCCGCACTCACAGGCCCCCCCTCTAGGAGCACCACGCGTGTGTACAGGCACACGCATGGACACGCTCACACGGACACACGCCAGGCTCCTCCGGGTCCATCAGTTCTCCCTCCTGGGTCTCCACTGTGGAGGAGTCCACCCTCCTGCGGCCCCGTCTATGCCCGCCCTGATCTGTCTTCTTGGCCCCCTCTCCACCCCGCTTGCCAACCTGAGGCTTTTGGCCTCCTGCCCCTGCAAGCCTCCCCAAATCTCAGCTTGTCCCCCTTGTCCTCCTCCGTACCCATGCACCCGTGCTCTGGGCAGGAGGCAGGATGTCCCCTCCTGGAGACTGCGGTCACCACGTGACAGTTCCAGGAATCCCTGGGCTCCACTCGGGGACTCAGTGACACGTTGTCCGTCTGTCTGTCCCGCAGGTCGGGGACGTCGTCATGATCAAGGAGGACGAGACTTTTCCCTGCGACCTCATCTTCCTCTCCAGCAGCCGTGGGGACGGGACCTGCCATGTGACCACCGCCAGCCTGGACGGAGAGTCCAGCCACAAGGTGCGTCTCCCTGCAGGCCCCACCTCACCCCCAGCCTGTGCCAGTGTGACGGTGCCAAGTCAGGCACGGGCAGACGATCGGAAGGTGCCAGGCATAGCTATGGGAAGGGCGTGGACGGCAGTGGTTTCAGAAGGGTCAGTGGGTGACGGGCCTGGACAGACCGTGAGTGGGTGACCGGGAGATGAGGTCAGGGGAAAGGTGACAGGAAGTCATTCAGGCGATGGGATGGCAGACAGCCGGGGGACGTGTAGGGGCACAGAGGGGGAGGAGTGGGCGGATAGGGGACAGTCACAGGTACGGATGGTGGACGGAGGTGACAGGGCTGTAGGCAGTGGGGAGGGGACAGGGCAGTAGAAAGTGGGTTGGTGACGGGCTGTAGGCAGTCGGGAGGTAACGGCTGTAGACGGGGGAGGTGACAGGTGATGTGGTGTGAGTGACGGCTGAGTGCGTGAGACAGACAATAGCAAGGTGGAGAGGAAAGGGGCCTGACTGTCTGCAGTGACCGCTGGTGCGCGCTGGTGCTGTCACTGAGGCAGAGGGGAGGTCTGGCCGTTGCAGTGCTTGTGCTTCTGTGGCCACCCGACATGAGAGCCCACCCTTGGTTCTGGTTCTTCTGACGCCTCTCCAGGGGGACAGGCCCGGACCCTGCCCATCAGCCTCGCGGGACGGGCCTGTCTCTCCCTGACGGGACTGACGCCTTCTGCCTGCAGACGCACTACGCAGTCCCGGACACGAAGGGCTTCCACGCTGAGGAGGACATCGATGGGCTGCATGCCACCATCGAGTGTGAGCAGCCACAGCCCGACCTCTACACGTGAGTGGGGGACACACCATCAGCAGTGCCCACAGCTCATGCTGCCTGCCTGAATTGGGGGCTCAGCTTCTGTGGGTCCTGACTCGGGGCACCTGGCTCCCGTGGGCCCTCCGTGGTTCCTGTGTGGCTAGGGGGACTCCAGCCTCCTGTGGACCCGCCTTCATAAGCTGGGCCAGGAGCCGAGGGTTGAGGCCTTCCCTGTTCCCGCGTGCAGAGCTGGCGTGGCATGTCTCAGGGACAGGGTGGTCCAGACCCGCACTGACCGCCTGAAGGTCACGCTTGCCCTTCCAGGTTTGTCGGCCGCATCAACGTGTACAACGACGTCAGCGACCCTGTGGTGAGGTGAGCTGGTGCGTGTGCAGGTGTGCACACGGCGTGTGCCCTGCAGCTGCCCGGGGCCTGGCACAAGGCCTCTGCCCCTCCTGCCGGCTGGCTGTGCTGCTTGGGGAGGGTCGGGTTCTGTTGTGCCGCTGTGTGGGAAGTGCATGGCCTTCCTAGGGACCCATCCTGCCATGGGCGGGCTGAGGGAGTGTCCAAGGATCTGCCCCGTTCCCTGCGCAGAGGCCAGTGGATGGCGCTGCCCAGTTGCAGGGAGCAGCTGGGGTCGTATCATCCCGACTTACCCCGTGGCACATCTGTGAGCAGTAGAAATGGGGTCTTCCCCATGGGACTCCCTGGGGCCTCCCCCGTGGGACTCCCTGGGGCCTCCCCCGTGGGACTCCCTGGGGTCTCCCCGGTGGGACTCCCTGGGGTCTCCCTGTGTGGTGGCTCCCTTGAGACCCTGTCAGTGACCCTCCACCCTGAGCCCCATCCATGCCATGACATCCTGACTTTTCCCAGGTCTCCCGAGGCCATGGGGGACCCTCGGGTGCTCCGTGGTGTATGCCAGGCCTCAGTCACTCCAGCGCTGGGAGTGGGTGCAGTGGGGACTCGTGGCCACGGGGGCTGGGCATCCTCCCCAGCCGGGCCCCTGGGAGGGGCTCAGGCAGCTCAGCCTCCGCTGCCCCCGCAGGCCTCTGGGGTCGGAGAACCTGCTTCTTCGCGGGGCCACGCTCAAGAACACCGAGAGGATCTTTGGTGAGTGCCTGTGGCCGCACATGTCCGCCTTTGCCTCTGTGGGTCCATAGGAGTGGACACGGGTCTGCTCCCGGTGTCCTGCTCCAGGAGGGCCACTGCCTGGCCCCCAGCCCCAGGTCCTGCTGCTGCCGTGGGGATGCCTCCTTAGAGCGCAGGCGTCCGCTGACCCTGTGGGCCCCACCCCGAGCCTGTCCGCGCGCTGCGTCCCTGAGTCTCCTGTCCACGCGCTGTGTCCGCGAGTCTCCTGTCCACGTACCATGTCCCCTTGTGTTCGTGCACTCTGTCCCCACCCAACCCCAGCTGCTCAGGTCCGTCTGCTTACAGGCGTCGCCATCTACACGGGCATGGAGACCAAGATGGCCCTGAACTACCAGTCCAAGTCACAGAAGCGCTCGGCCGTGGAAAAGTAAGGCTTGGGCCCCTCGGAACCCCTCGCCCCTCCCCCGGAGTCAGAACCCCCTTGCCCCTCCCTGGGTAGTCAGAGTTCCCCCGCGCCTCCCCAGGGAGCTGGAGCCCCCTCCCCTCTCCCTAGACGGAAGCAGGAGGCATGTCCTGGGCCTCTCCCCCGGCCGGGCAGCGGGTCTGGCTTGCAGGAGGCTGCCCCAGGCTCAGGCTGCTGGAGACAGCTGGCGGCCCAGAGCACACCCCCCAGCTCTGGGACTCCCCTCGAGCCCACTCCTCCCGCGGGGCCCCTGGTCTCGGGCGCTCCCGGAGCCCTGCCCTTTCCTCGGGTGCAGCTGTGGCCCCCGGGCCACAGGCGCCCCCTGCTCCTTCCGGTCGTGCACCGTGGAGCTCGGGGAGGGGCAGCCTCTGAGGTGCTCTGCGTTGCAGGTCCATGAACGTCTTCCTCATCGTGTACCTCTGCATCCTCATCAGCAAGGCGCTCACCAACACCGTGCTCAAGTACGTGTGGCAGAGCAAGCCTGCCCACGACGAGCCGTGGTACAACCAGAAGACGGAGGCCGAGAGGCAGCGGAACCAGGTAGGGGCGCCCTCGGGCCCACGGGGCGCGCAGGAGGGGCCGCTCCCGCCTGAGTGTCGGGTCCGTGGAGGGCCCTCACGCAGGCAGCTAGGCGAGAGGGAGTTTCACCCCATGTGTCTGTCTGCCGGAAGCATTCTGACCAAAGCCGTCCAAACGATAGCGTTGAACTTGGTTGTTGGACACGGCGCTGTCTTCAGGTTGGCTCCCAGTTCAGAGTGACTTGGTTGCACGTGCAGTGGGCAGTGGGCATGGAAAGGAGGTGTGCGTGCACAGAGGGAGATGTGCATGCCCCAGGTGTGTGCACGTAGGGAGGTGTCCACGTTCAGAGGGAGGTGTGCGCCGAGAGAGGAAGGTGTGTGTGCACGGGGAGGCACACACAGGGGAGGGTGTGTATGCACAGAGGGACGGGTGCACGCACAGAGGAAGGCACGCATACACAGGAAGGTGTGCACACACAGAGAGGCATATGCACACGTGGGGAGGTGTGCATGCCCCGAGGGACGTGTGCTCCCACAGCGGGAGGTGTGCACACGGGGGTGGTGCAGAGGGTCCTGGGAAATGCACAGCGCCCCTGGCTGTGGCACTGGGATGCCTCTGTGGGGCTTCTCTGTGCGTTGGTTGTCACCCACGAGTCGCGTCCTCTGTCAGAGTCCCCTGCACATGGTTTGTGCTGTCACCTTGCCCGCCTCGCGGCCACCGGGAAGGCTGGCAGGCGTGTGGCCTGAGCCCCAAGGCCGCCTCCCTCAGTTCCTGCAGGCCTTCACCGACTTCCTGGCCTTCATGGTCCTCTTCAACTACATCATCCCCGTGTCCATGTATGTCACCGTGGAGATGCAGAAGTTCCTGGGCTCGTACTTCATCACCTGGGACCAGGACATGCTGGACGAGGAGACGGGCGAGGGGCCACTGGTCAACACCTCGGACCTGAACGAGGAGCTGGGCCAGGTGGGGGACGCGGCCCGTGGGGGGGGGGGGGCAGGCGGTATGCGGCGGGAACGTGCTGTGAGCCCCACCCGCAGGTGCAGTACGTGTTCACCGACAAGACCGGCACGCTCACGGAGAACAACATGGAGTTCCGGGAGTGCTGTGTGGAGGGCCATGTCTACGTGCCCCACGCCATCTGCAACGGGCAGGTGCTGCCCGACTCCTTGGGCATCGACATGATCGACTCGTCCCCGAGCGCCAACGCAAAGGTGGGCCCCGGGCGCACTCGGGTCATCCAGACACATGCGCACACAGCGTCCACCTTAACCCCCACACACGCGTGACCACTGGCCCCCGCATGATGCCCACGCATGTACAGCACTCCCACACATGCAGGTGTGTACACTCAGACGTACACCTTCCACATGTGGACACGTGTAGGGTATATGCACACACCCATATGTGTAGGCATACCTCCCACATCTGTAGACACACACACCCGTATGTGTAAACACAGGAACAAATTTCTCATGTGTGTAGATACGGGTGCACAGACACCCATACCTGTAGACACGTGCACACAGACACCCATGTGTGTATACGCTTGTGCATACAGACACGTGTAGCATATGTGCATAAGACACCCATAAACGTGTATGCAGAACCTGTACCCGTAGACTGATATGCACAGATGCCCATACATGTAGACACGTGTGCACAGACAGCCATACTTGTAGACATGCACACACACAGACACCCAGACACATAGAAATGTGCGCATAGACACCCGTACACGCAGACGTGAGCAGAGACACCCATCCAGCAGACACGCATGCACACAGACACCAGTACATGGAGACACGCGCAGAATCACCCCAGTGAGGACGCGAGCACACATGCACCTGCCCCTGGCTGTAGGCGCGGGGCCCCCGTGAGCCTGGGTGCACGATGCCGGGCGGGGGCGCACCGCTGACTCTGCTGTGCCCCAGGAGCGGGAGGAGCTGTTCTTCCGGGCCCTGTGCCTGTGCCACACCATCCAGGTGAAGGACGAGGAGGACGTGGACGGGCCCCGCAAGTCGCCCGACTCGGCCAAGTCCTGCGTCTACATCTCCTCCTCTCCCGACGAGGTCGCCCTGGTGGAGGGGATCCAGCGGTGAGTGGCCCCGGGTGCCGGGGGACGCTGGGTGGACGCCGACCCTGGGTGCCGGACTCCGCCAGTGCCCAGCTCGGAGACCGGCGCTCGCCCTCCCCTCGGTGCCTCAGACAGGACCCGCCTCTGTGCCTCGGGTGTTGGTGCTTTTACGGAGCCCCCCAGGCCTGCTGGGCAGCGTCTCCCCCACTGCTCTGGGGAAGACCCTCAGGAGAAGCCTCACTCCGGAACCTTTGCTCGGTGCCACGTGGGGTTGTCCCCTGCCTCCCGCGGCTCCTCCCAGCCGCCCTCTGAGACCAGGCTCCAGCACAGTTGAGCCGGCCTTCGCCGGTGCTTAGACGAACCTGTCCAGGCCCCAGGGGTGACGGCAGGCACATGGGCCACGCAGGCGGGAAGCACTCGCCGCCTCCCTCCCCGAGAGCAGAGCTGGGAAACTGGGGCTGCCCGGGAGCACGGGGCTCACTTGGGCCCTGCCCCGCTCGGGGCTGCCAGACCCCTGTGTCTCTCCCCCGCTGGGCACTGTGCCCAGTGCCTCCTGCCTGGGCCCCGGGGCTCCTTGGGACAGTGAGTCTGGGGCCACACCCTGCTGTGGTGGTGGGGACGCACCCCCAGGGAGAGACCCACGGGGAAACCTTGGGGAAACTGAGCCAGTGCTGCTGCCACGATCCCAGCGCCTGCACTTTGGACTTGCATTTTTTTCTTCTATTGTTCTTATTTTTTTATTAAACTACAAGACCAAGATGACTGCCCTCCAATGTCCTGATGGATCTATTACATCTTCCAGAAGGGCAATGGAGATTATCCATGACTTCTACTCGGATCTCTTTGATAGTCACGTCCACCTGCCCACATACCAAATTCCACAGGATGGATATGTCGCTCCCAACGTTCTCCCTTCCGAAATCCGACACGCCATTTCGTCAGTAAAGAAACGAACAGCACCTGGCCCAGACAAGGTCAGACCCGAACACCTGAAGAACCTGCCGTCAGTACTCATCAATACACTGGCTCACCTCTTCACACGCTACTTGTCTGAAAACGCAAGGTTCTGTCCCAGTGGGAAACCAGCAGGACTGTACTACTGTACAGTACTTCTTTTACTGTACTGTACAAGAAGGGAAACATCCAAGATATTGGCAACTATTGCCCAATCTGCCTGTTGTCTGTCATCTACAAGCTGTTCACTCAAGTCAGTCTGAATAGGATTGGCAGAACACTAGATGAAGGACAACCATGCGAGCAAGCCGGGTTCCGCAAAGGATTCAGCACCATCGACCATATCCACATGATAACCAAGCTCATTGAGGTTTCTCGGGAGTTCAAGATGCCGCTCTGTTTAACGTTCATTGATTTAAAGAAGGCCTTTGATTCTGTTGAGATGGAAGCGGTCATTGAAGCCCTAGCCAATCAGGGCATTCAAGCCCAATACATCAGGATCCTCCGTGAGCTGTATTGCGGATTCACTACCAGGATCTCACCATTCTACAAAGAAGTGATCATCCATGTCAGGAGAGGGGTTCGGCAGGGTGATACTATTTCACCGAAACTCTTCAGTGCCACCCTCGAGAACATCATGCGACGACTGGAATGGGAGTGAAGATAGATGGTTGGCAACTACACCACCTCCGCTTTGCTGATGACATCATTCTAATAACACTAAACATTAGCCAAGCGGCACAAATGCTAGCCGACTTCGACCATGAGTGTGGAAAGGTCAGACTACAGCTGAATCTCACAAAGACAATGTTTATGAGAAACAGTCTTGTTCCTGACGTTCCATTCACTCTCAATGGGACAAACATCTCCGAATGCAACAGCTATGTGTACCTAGGTCGAGAGGTCAACATGACAAATGACCTGGCACCTGAGTTGCGCAGGAGGAAGAGAGAGGCTTGTAACGCCTTCAAGAGCGTCAAACAAATAGCTAAGACGACGAAGAACCTCCGGCTCCGGGCACATCTCTTTGAATCCACTGTTCTTCCTGCATTAACATACGCCTCAGAGACCTGGGCCCTACGCAAACAGGATGAGAACACTATTCGGGTCTCCCAAAGAGGAATTGAAAGAGCTATGCTTGGAGTATCACAGTTCACTCAAATGAGAGAAAGAACCCGGAGTTCTGACCTCTGTCGATGATTAAGAATCAGGGACACTGCGTCGTTTGCCAAGGCATTGAAAATCAGATGGGCTGGACACGTAATGAGATTTGGGGATGACTGCTGGACTAGAGCCGTTACCAACTGGATTCCACGGGATGTCAAAAGACCGCGTGGCCACCCACCTACCAAACGGTCAGACTCCTTTGTCAAGACCCTGAATGATCGGTTTGAGGCTCTTCATGTTCCTAGAATGAACAGACACCATTGGGCCACATTAGCATGCGACGGGGACAAATGGAGACGTTACTGGCGCCCGCTCGAGCAAATCGATGATTAACGGGAAGTCAAGTATCAAGTGGTCAAGTTCTTGTTTGTTTTTTTTTTTTCATAAAGTCGTTCACAATAATTGATTACATTCATATTCCAACACCGATCCCACCCATGACACCTTCCCACCACCACTCAGGCCTGCCCCACAGGCGGACACAGGATAATTTATTTTCGCATTGCCTGTGATGAAGAGCGTGCAATGTCCTGGAATTCTAAAATTCTAAATAATTGGGTTCCAGAGCCATCTCTGCAGCAAGCGGCTCCCCCCGAGATTCCTTTGTGAGTGTCCGGATCCTGGCAGCTAATGGCTTAAGTGGCACCCAGAGGCAGTTGGTGGGCGTGACAGCCGGACCCGGAGTGGGGGGAGATGGGGAGAGCAGCCCGCCCAGTCCCTCGGGGCCTGGAGTGTTCGGTCACTGGTCCCGCCACCTGGGTTTTCGCTGGGTTCTGAGGTTGGCGGCCCCCGGGGTTCCGAGGGGGCGGGTGGAGGACGACGCCTGCGCCTGTCTGAGGCGCCCCTTCAGCCTGGTGCAAGGTCCAGAACATCAATGGGTGAGCTGCCCGGGCCCGAGATTCTCCGGGGAGTCTGGGACGTGCTTTTTCGATGGGGCTTTGCCACGCAGCCTCACCGCCGCCCTTGCCCGCAGGCTTGGCTTCACGTACCTGAGGCTGAAGGACGGGCACATGGAAATCCTCAACCGTGACAATGACCTGGAGCGGTGAGTCGCCAGTGCCTGCCGGGGCACCCCGCGGGCGGCTGCAGGGTCCGGGTGGGCCAGGCCAGGGCGCCCCCCAGCGAGGCCCTGGGACCCCGTGAGACTGTGACAGGCCATCTGTGCCTGGGCACCCGTCACCGCGAGACCCGCAGGCAGAGCCGAGTGCTGGTGACCAGCTCTCTGCCCTGTGGGCTCCCGGGACCCTCCACTTTTGACTGGACGGAGAGGTCAGCCGGCACGGGGCCCACACACCCTGGGTCCGGGCCCCCGGCCTGGCCGAGCAGTCCTCGGGGAGCACCTGGGCGCCCCCGCCAGCCCCCGTGGTCCCTTCCAGGTTCCAGCTGCTGGAGACGCTCAGCTTCGACTCGGTGCGGCGGAGAATGAGCGTGATCGTCAAGGCCGCCGCGGGTGAGCCGCTCCTGCCGCCTCCGCAGCCACTGCGCTCAGGCCACGGCACCCGCCACCCTCGTGGGCTGTGGCTCCCGTCTCGCTTCCGATGCGGCGAGGAGCGTTTCTAGAGCACAGTGAACGCGTGCTGGCGGGCACAGACGCGCTCTGTCGTGTGGGGACTGCGAGCTCGCTCCCTGCCACCAGGGCCCGAGGAAGCCACGGAGCCCTGTGCACGCACCCCTGCCCACTCTCCCTGCCCCCCCCCGCCCACAGCCCCGCCCCCTCCCTGCCCTCGCCCTGTCCCAGGCCCCCCCCCCCCGGCTCGCAGTGCGGGGAGTGCTGGGCAGCCCCTGGCCTTCGGCCGCCATGGCCCCTGGCACACAGTCGGTCCGCGGGGGCTCTATGCTGGGGACTCCCCCAGGCTTCACCTGCGGCGTTTGCCGACTCCGCCCCGACTGTAGCAACCCAGTGCGGCCTAGCCCAGTGGCCACCCCCGGGGCCCCGCTGACCCTTCCTCCCATTCCACAGGAGAAATCTATCTCTTCTGCAAGGGGGCGGACTCTGCCATCTTCCCCCGAGTGGTCGAAGGGAAAGTGGATCAGATCCGGGCGCGGGTGGAGCGCAACGCAGTGGTGAGTCGGGCTCGGCCCGGGCCTGGCCCTAGGGACGTCCTGGCCACTCCTCCAGCCTCCCACAGGCCTGGGCAGCCGCTTCTCAGAGGGGCTGCCCATACGGCGGGGCGGGCACTGCTGTGGGCGGTGCGGCCCTCTAGGGACTCGGGGCTGGCCACTCCCTGGCCCACACTGTGCCTGGACGCTGCCACTGGGGACGGGTGGAAGCAGAGTGAGCCCTGAGTTCCGTGGCCTTCGTCTGCGCCCGTCCTGAGATGGCGTCTCTCTCAGGGGCATCAGCAGCGTTTCCTCCTGCAGGGCTGCTCCCTGCCTCCATGCTCTGCCCCGCCTGCTGGGGCGGGGACTGGTGTCCAGTTGTGCAGAATGTGTCCGTGTGGGAATTCTGACTCTGTGGAAAGTGTGTGTGGGAATTCTGCAGTGTGGGAAGTCTGATGCAGAGGGAGTGTCTGCGGGAATTCCGACCGTGTGGGAAGTCGGACTGTTGGGGAGTGTCTGTGTGGGAATTCCGGCTGGGCGGGAAGTGTCTGGGTGGCAGTTGTGGCTCTGCGGGAAGGGTCTGAGTGGGAATTCTGGGCTGTGTGGAAAGTGTCTGGGTAGAATTCTGTCCCTGAGAAGTGTCTTCTTGGGAATTCTGTCTCGGGAGAAGTGTCAGTGGGAATGTGGGGTGGTGAGGACAGTGTCTGGGTGTAGTTCTGTCTGTGGGGGAGTGTCTGGGTGGGAATTTGGCTGTGTGGCAAGTGTCTGTGGGATCCTGCCTATGTAGAAAGTGTCCCCGTGGAGAGTGTTCGGATGGGAATTCGGCTGTGTGGGAAGTATGTGACCGGCAAACAAAAACACAAGCAAGGTAGAGCTCTGAAGGTCCTGCGGGCCCTTCCCGTGGACAGCCCCTTGCCCCCCCCCACTAGGGAGACCGCGGGTCCGTCAGGTGCTGCAGAGTCCGGCAGAGGTCTGTGCTGCTGGCGGGAAGGACGGGGCGGGCAGCCCCTGCCCAGTCCAGGCACGCCGGCAGGGCCTGTGGAGGGCCCCGGTGATGCCCGGGTGCGGAGTCACACTCAGCGGGTGACTCAGCCCCCGTGGACGTGGTTTGCCTGTGGCCCACAGGCATTGAGTCCCGAGCGAGCCCCAACAGGCTCGCTGTCGGGACTGCTCCCGCCGGACAGAGGCAAGAGCAGTGGGTGTGAGCTTCCCTCCTGCCATGGGCTCCCCTCGCCGTACCCGGGCCCCCAGCACCCTGCTCGGTGTTGTTGAGGGCTCCCAGCTGGGCCTGGGGTTCAGCCTGGGCCGGCCCTGATCCATCATCTGCTTTGCTAGTGAGACTATGTCCCAATTGCCACCCCGGGGGCGGTGCTGGACGTGAGGCCTGGCGGGATGGTCGCACTCAGGCCGCCCTTTGTGCCCACAGGAGGGGCTCCGGACGCTGTGTGTCGCCTACAAGAAGCTGTCCCCTGAGGAGTACGAGGGCGTATGCGGGCTGCTGCAGGCGGCCAAGGTGGCCCTGCAGGGGCGGGAGAAGCAGCTCGCCGAGGCCTACGAGCAGATCGAGAAGGACCTGGTGCTGCTGGGGGCCACAGCTGTCGAGGACCGGTGAGCACAGAGCCAGGGGCACGTGCAGCCGGGGGACAGGCATGAGGGCTGCGCCCTGAGGGTGTCCCCCACCTGGGGCCTGAGGCCTGAGAGCGAGGTCAGCCAGTGGTTCAGAGCAGGGCCGGGACAGCACGTCCTGCCCCCAGGGACTCTGGCCAGGGAGCAGCATGTGTCAAGCCCAAGGGCCCTGTGGCCAGCAGCACTGGTCCTCCGGCTCTGTGTGCAGAGCCGCGGCAGCCTGCCGGCCCCTCACAAGGACGGGGCATCTCTCCATGCCGAGTGGGACAGTGAGGTCTTGTCGCGGCCCCTGGAAGTCCCTGAGCTCCGCAGGTCAGGCCTCTGCCGCACCACCAGCTCCGGTGCCAGGCAGGCGCCGGCAGCCCCGCCCCGGGCCTCCCCACCCTGGGTCCCGGTCGTGTGCCAGCCTGCGTGTGGGCTCGGGGCGTGCTGCAGGCCACGGTGGGAGCAGTCCCGCGCTGAGCTGAGGCCGCGTCTGCTCAGGCTGCAGGACCAGGCTGCTGACACCATCGAGGCACTGCAGAAGGCCGGCATCAAGGTGTGGGTGCTCACGGGCGACAAGATGGAGACGGCGGCGGCCACCTGCTACGCCTGCAAGCTCTTCCGCAGCGGCACGCAGCTGCTGGAGCTGACCACCAAGCGCGTGGAGGAGCAGGGCCTGCACGACGTGCTGCTGGAGCTCAGCAAGACGGTGCTGCGCGGGGGCGGGACGCTGCCCCGGGAGGGCTGCTCGGGGTAGGCGCACGCAGGGGAGCGCCACGGGGGACGGCTGTGCACGCGTGTGTGCGGCGCTGGGGCGTGAGTGGCTGCGTGGACACGGGTGTGGGTGGGTGTGTGGCTGCGAACGGCCCTCCGACTCCACGTGCTCCCTTCTGAAGGCCACGTCGGGGGCCCTGGGCAGTCAGAAGTGGTCGCAGCGGAGGTCAGGCCCGTGTGCTCCGCTGAGCCGTGGCCGCTGGCACAGCTAGCACGCCAGCCCAGATGTCCTCCTGTGGCCAGTCACACCGAGGCCTGTTTTGGGGCGTCCAGGGCCGTGGTCCTCGGGGCGCATCCAGGCCTGCGCCCAGGGTGCTATCCAGATCTGTCTCCTCTTTGGTGCCGCCAGCGACTCTCGGGTCTCGCACAAGCACAGTGAGTGCTGTGCTACGGGCTCTGCCGGTGTGACATCGGAGCTGACCACACCCAGCTACCCCACTCCAAGGGCGAGGGTCCGCTTACCCCCCCTCCCCCGTCCCTACTCCAGGCGGGGTCATCGGAGCCCAGGCTGCTGGGGGGAAGCAGCGGGCAGGAGGGGCAACTCTGGGCCGCGCCCGTGCGGGAGAGCGAGCGGCGGCTCCCCACAGGCTCTCCGCGGACCTGCAGGACTTCGGGCTCATCATCGACGGGGCGGCGCTCACCCTGGTGATGAAGCCGCGGGAGGACAGCGGCTCCGCCGGGAACTACCGCGAGCTCTTCCTGGACATCTGCCGCAACTGCAGCGCCGTGCTCTGCTGCCGGATGGCGCCACTGCAGAAGGCTCAGGTTGGCGGCCGCCGGGGCGGGGCGGCAGGCAAGAGGCGCCCCCTGACGCGCTGCAGACGTATCTGCGGGCAAGGCCCGGCCGGGCCTCCTGCAGCCGCACCCTGGGCACCTCACTCCCGCCTGGAGCCATGCTCCCCCGAGAGGCCCAACCCGGCCAACCCCGTGCTGCCCAGGGCAGTGCCACGTCCACAGCCTCTGGACCCCCACAGGGCACTTTGCCTCTGGGAAGCTGACTGTGTCCCTCCTGGGACTCAAGTGACCTGGCCCCACTCCTGCCCTGGGCACTCGCCCGGGCCGGCAGGGACCCCGAGGGTGCCACCGACCGACAGCTGTCCGGGCCCCCGGCACCCTGTGTGGGCAGCAAGCGGAAGTGGTGCCGTGTCAGGCCCTGGGCACAGGGGGCGCCCCGAGCTCAGGCCTCTCTCTAGCCACTGCTCCCCCGAGAGAGGCCCCTTCCGGTCAGCCGGGCCAGACGCAGTGGGCCTCTCTCCGCAGATCGTCAAGCTGATCAAGCTGTCCAAGGAGCACCCCATCACCCTGGCCATCGGCGACGGGGCCAACGACGTCAGCATGATCCTGGAGGCCCACGTGGGCATTGGTGAGTGTCGGCAGCCGTGCCCAGGGCTGGGGGGGTGGGGCCGGGGGCCGGCACGATGGCTCTGCTCCCCCAGGCGTCATCGGGAGGGAGGGCCGCCAGGCCGCCCGCAACAGCGACTACGCCGTGCCCAAGTTCAGACACCTGAGGCGGATGCTGCTGGTGCACGGACACCTGTACTACGTGCGCATCGCGGAGCTGGTGCAGTACTTCTTCTACAAGGTGGGCAGTGCTGCGCCCTGAGTCCTGGGCTCTCAGCTGGTGCGGTTCCCCTCCAGGGCCCCGTCAGCTGTTGGGCCTGTGGGAAATCAGTGCTTCTGCAGGGACTCGGGGCTACCGGAGGGGGCCAGGTGCTTGTCCAGGGGTCTTGGTACTTCTACAGGGGACCCGATGCTTGTCCAGGGGACTCAGTACTTCTCCAGGGGACCCAGTGCTTGTCCAGGGGACTCAGTACCTCTACCGGGAACCCGGTGCTTGTCCAGGGGACTCAGTACTTCTCCAGGGGACCCAGTGCTTGTCCTGGGGACTCAGTACCTCTGCAGGGGACCCGGTGCTTGTCCAAGGGTCTTGGTACCTCTACAGGGAACCAGGTGCTTGTCCAGGAGGCCTGGTGCTTGTCCAGGGAACTCAGTACTTCTCCAGGGGACCCAGTACTTGTCTAGGGGACTCAGTACCTCTACAGGGGACCCGGTGCTTGTCCAGGGGACTCAGTACTTCTCCAGGGGACCCGGTGCTTGTCCAGGGGACTCAGTACCACTGCAGGGGACCCAGTGCTTGTCCAGGGGACTCAGTACTTCTCCGGGGGACCCGGTGCTTGTCCAGGGGACTCAGTACCTCTGCAGGGGAGCCGGTGCTTGTCCAGGGGACTCAGTACCTCTACAGGGGACCCGGTGCTTGTCCAGGGAACTCAGTACCTCTGCAGGGGAGCCGGTGCTTGTCCAGGGGACTCAGTGCCTCTGCAGGGGACTTGGCGCTTGACCGGGGGACACGTGAGTCCTCCCCCAGGACTCTGGCTGCCTCCCAGGCCCGGAAGCACAGACCCCCCCGTAAATGCAATCTCGGCATCCATCCACCCTGCTCTCTGTTGCCTGCCCCCGCCCTCCTGCCGCCTCCTGCCCGTGCTCCCGAGTGCCAGGCATGGCTGCCGCGGAGGGGTCGTGCAGGGCGCCCGGTGCCAGCGTGCTGCCCCCCGAGCTGCTGTGCTCTTGTCTTCCAGAACGTCTGCTTCATCTTCCCCCAGTTCCTCTACCAGTTCTTCTGCGGCTTCTCCCAGCAGGTGTGTCTCCCCGTCGCCTCGTGGCCACCTGGGGGCTGCGGGGAAACCCTGCACCCTCCGGCCAGAGGGGTTCGGGGTGGGTGGGTGGGCTTGCAGGTGTGGGTGGGAGTGGGGCAGGGCTCCAGCCTGGGTGACGGGGAACGCCATCCTGCTCCGCGGTTGCCTGTGCTGGAGGTGGCTCCGAGTGTCCACGGCGACCCCCGCCCTGCACGCACAAGGGGCGTCGGGCCCTTGGTCTGCCAGGAGGCAGGGGGCCGGCGGGGGGCCGGCGGGGGCCGGACGCAGGTGCAGGCAGCTCAGGGCGCGGCCCGTGCCGGGTGAGGCCGTCCCTGCGAGCAGAGACCCCCGCCGGGCCGCAGCCCCCGTCGTGTCTGGGCCGTGGGCCGGCCCTGCAGGCCGCAGTAGCTGAGCAGCGGCTGCCCTTGCAGACCCTGTACGACACGGCCTACCTGACCCTCTACAACATCAGCTTCACGTCACTCCCCATCCTGCTGTACAGCCTGATGGAGCAGCACGTGAGCACCGACACGCTGCAGAGGGACCCGACCCTGTACAGGTAGCGCGGCCCTCACCGGCGGGGGAGCGTGGCCCAGCTGCGTGCCGCCCTCAGGGCCGCGCCTGGGCTGCTGCTCCTGTGGCCCGTGGCATCCGTCCATGCTGGAGAGGTGCCCACGTGCCTGGGAGTCGCCGTCCTGAGCGCTTGTCCCCAGCACGCCTGCTCCATGGCACACGTCCCCACAAGCTCACGCATGTGCACGCGTCCCCGCGTGCTCCTGTGTGCATCAGTCCCGATGTGTGCCTGGCGTCCTCATGTGTACTGTGTCTTAGGGGCATGTGCACATGTGTTCTTGCGTGTGCACGTGGGCACACATGTGCGCCTGTGTTCCTGCGTGCATGTGTGTTCCCTGTGCCACACACAGCCCACTGCCCACTGGGGCAGAAGCCGCTTGTGGGCCTACGTCCCCTGAGAAGCTTGTCCTGGCCCTGCAGAGTGGCTGCTGGACACTGGTGGGGGCTGCGCCCGGGGCCTCGGGCTGTGGCCATCAGACTGCCCTGCCCTCCGTGACCCCAGGGTCAGAGAGGGCGTGTCTGAGTGGGTCACCCCAGAGCCTGCCTGCAGGGCGGCGAGACCCCTGTCCGACCGGGGAGCCTTCCCGGGCAGGGTGACTGCCGAGAGTCCGGCCCCAGCGCTGAGAGGCCCCTGTCCCGGCCGCCCCAGCCCTTGGGGAGTCCCGTGGTGGCGTGGGGCTGAGGGAGCGGGGCCCCGGGCTGTGCGGGGCCCCAGAGGTGTGTGGAGGCCTGCCCGTGCGTCCCCACCCAGCCCCTCCGTGTCCGGCAGGGACATCGCCAAGAACTCGCTGCTGCGCTGGCGGACCTTCATCTACTGGACCTTCCTGGGCGTGTTTGACGCCCTGGTGTTCTTCTTTGGTGCTTACTTCATCTTCGAACACACGACTGTGGGCAGCAACGGGCAGGTGAGTGGGCGCCCGCGGCCGGGCTCGGGCCCTGGAGGGAGGTGCTGCTGCCCGGCCGTGCGTGGGCACAGATGTGCCGGGGTCAGGGTGGCCGCAACGTCCGCCAGCGCTGCCCTAGGCCCAGGGTGCGTGCGTGTGGGCGCAGCTCCAGCCCCGGAGCGCACGAGGCTTTTCCCGGGGGACGAGCCTGGAGCCGCTTTATTTGCAGCTGTTTTCTTCCCTCCCCGCTCCCCCCTCAGACCCTGGCCGCCAACACACAGACGGTAAGACAGCCGCCATGGTGTCCCGTTTGCTGTGCTCGACCGGAAATATTTCTCAGAAATATTTTCGCCCTGCCCCTGTGTGCTGTGCCGGGAGCTGCAGCCCCCGCCGTGGCGGGTTCCCTTCCCGCGGACACGTGTGGCGGGGGCGGGGCTGAGCATCGGGCTGCTCGGGACACTCGTTCTCCTGTTCTGCCCAAGAGTCGGCGCTGTCTTCCCCCAACTCGAAAGTCGTTTCTGGTAGAAGGATCGAGAACTTTCTCAGACCTTGCTTCAGCCTTGAAGCTCTCCATCTTTCTAGAATCTTCCTCATTGCCACTCAGTGATTTCCCCGCACCTCCAGCCTGTCGTCACCCTTTGTGCCGTTGGCAGGCGTATGGGGATCTCGGGAGGAGGGGCGCGGGACCCTGGATTGAGGTTCCAGACTGCACGTGGTTACCCCAGACTCAGCACCCAGAAATCCAGGCCCTGGGGGCAGGGCTGCTGCCCACGCTGCCTGGCCCATAGCTGCCTGATGCCGCCAGACCCAGGCATACCCCACCATACCCAAGCATGCCCAGGTATAACGCACCTGACTTAGGCATACCCAGGCATACCGGGGTATACCCCCCACACCCAGACATACCCCGCCAGGCCCGAGTATGCCCAGGCATACCCTACCAGACCCAGACATACCCTACCAGACCCAGACATACCCAGGCATACCCCTCCATACCCAGACATACCCCGCCAGACCCAGACAAACCCAGGCATACCCTGATGAACCCAGGCACATCCAGTGTACCTTCATGTCCAGTCTTACTCAGTCGTGCACGGACGTACCCTGGCATTCAAAGCAACGCCCCCTCCCGATGCCTCTCCCTGGCCCCCACCAACCTGAGTCCCGTGTTTCTGGACGTTGTCACTGCACCGCGCACTGAGCTCATGGGGCAGAGCAGAGAGCTGCCCACGTGCTGGCCTGGCCACCGGGCCCTCCTACCTGTCCCATCTCTGCACAGCTGTCCAGGGGCTGAGAACCGGCAGCCAGCCACACCATCGGAGGTGGCATTGCAGGGGCCCATCTGTGTGCCCTGTGCCCTGGGCACAGACCACCCAGGTGGAGTGTGGGCAGCAAAGGCCGCAGAGTAGCCCCACCCGCGCGGTCAGCAGAGCCCCACGGCCTCCTGCCCTCATCCAGCTGTGCGCCTCTTGTACAGAGGCTCCCGCGCTTGCCTAGAGGGTGGCGCCAGTGCGGGCGGGCGGCCCCTCAGGTCTGCGGGTGCCCAGCGGCCTGGACTCAGTGGCCTCCAGACTGTCCCACAGCTCAGGCATGCCTCGCCGAGATGGGGGATGGGGCAGCCCTGGGCAGAGCCCCCACGTCCCAGCCCACAGAGGGTGGGACAGAGCAGACCCGGGCGAATCTGGGCTGCAACCCGGGACATTGTGAGTCCTGGACCCATCTTGGAGGAGGCCCGAGGGGGCTGCTATGTGTGGGGGACAGGGACATGCCACACGGGCACCGCCTGGCGACTGTCCATCCATCTGTCTGGCCCACCTGCAGACCTGCCGGGGGTGGGCCACGTCCTGAGCTGTGAGCTGTGCCCGCCCCCGCTGCTGGGCTCGGACGCCCTGGCGCGAGGGTCCCAGTATAGCGCCTGGGCTCGCTGCTGGGGGTGAGGCGCTGCCCCGGAGAAGGACGTGGCTTCTGGAACCCTCTGGTCGGAGAAGCCAGGTTGCGTCCCCCTGTGGCCATGGGCTGCCTCATCAGGACTCACCCATGTCCACGTGTGACTCCCCGCACGGTGCCACGGGCCTGGCTCCCGGAGACCCTCCCTCATGGTGGCTGTCTTCCCACAGGTGTTCGGCCACTGGACGTTCGGGACACTGGTGTTCACCGTGATGGTGTTCACAGTCACGCTGAAGGTAACGCTCCCACAGCCATGTCCTGGGCCCCGCGTGGAGGCCAGGGATCAGGTGTCCCGCACACTGGTCAGGCCTGAGGGTCTCCCGCGGGAGCAGAGTGGGGGAGAGGCCCGGGCAGCGGCCACAGGGAGCCCAGGAGACGAGATCGCGCATGGCGGCGACTCCAGCCCTCCCAAGTCAGGCTCTGTGCACAGCTGCCGCCCCAGACAGCGATTCCAAGAACCTCCCACACGGTCCCCGCCCAGAGACATGCCTCGGGCCTCCCACTGGTGGCTGCTCTCTCCGTGGGGCCCCCGCAGTCTCAGGGCCACTCCGGCTGGGCTGGGTGCCGGGCACACGCTCCTGGCTGGGCCTTTCAGAGTTTCCTTCTCTTCCCGCCACCTGCTGACCGCCCTCCTCAGCTGGCACTGGACACACACTACTGGACATGGATAAACCACTTTGTGATCTGGGGGTCTCTGCTGTTCTACGTCGTCTTCTCCCTGCTCTGGGGAGGGATCATCTGGTAGGTGTCCGCCCACCACCAGCTGCTTCATCAGTGGGCTGTGCTCAGGCCCCTGGAACCATGTTCTGGGGGCATGGCTGGGCGTGACCAGGTGAGCAGCTGGGTCTGGAAGCACTAGCATGGAGGCAGCAAGCACCCTCAGACGGAAGGTTCCAGATGCCACTTGCTCAGAAAGAACTCCCCGGAGAGAGGTTCCCTGAGAGAGACTCTCCTGTGAGGGACTCCCCGAGAGAAACTCCCCCTTGGGGCTCTTCTGTAAGGAGCTCCTCTGAGAGAGACTCCCCCGTGAAGGGTCCCTGAGGGAGACTCCCCTCTGAGGGGCTGCTCCCTGAGAGAGGCCCCCCGTGAGGGCGTCCTTTGAGACAGTCTCCTGGGTCCCCCTGAGAGACTCCCCCGTGAGCGCTTTGTAGTGTCCTGTGGTCTGCCGTGGTCTCTCTCCTGTGTTCGCCATCACGTGCCGCTGTCTGACCCTGAGCCTCCCAGGGAGCGCTCGTGTCCTCAGTGACCTCCCAGGGTCCCCAGGGTGTGCTTGCCACCCGCGCCTCCTGGGGAGCCCGGAGCCCCCATGGCCCAGACCCCCAGGAAGCATGTCTGTCCTTGCCCGTTCTGCCCTTCTGTCCCCCTCAGGGTCCCGCTCCCTTCAGAGGTGTCTCCCCTGTACCTGGGGGTGGGCAGGCCCGCTTGGGACCACCGGGGGCCGAGAGAACCCGGCCCCAGCCACTGCCCTGCCCGCCAGGCCCTTCCTGAGCTACCAGAGGATGTACCACGTGTTTGTCCAGATGCTGGCCAGCGGCCCCGCCTGGCTGGCCATCGTCCTGCTCATCACCGTCAGCCTCCTTCCCGACGTGCTCAAGAAAGTGCTGTGCCGGCAGCTGTGGCCCAGTGCCACGGAGCGGGTGCAGGTGAGCGGGCTGGGCAGGGAGGGGACAGTGGCCGGGACCGCCAGCCGCCAGGGGACACGGAGCTCTCTGAGGACAGGCTGCTACTGGGGCCCAGGGCCGCTTCCTGGGTGACCAGCATTTGAGGTGACATGGCCCCTGCATCAGGACACCCAGAGGCTGGACAGAGCCCTGTGTCCCCACTCCCAGTCGTGACCCCAAAGTTAGACCCCAGGTCAGAAAAGAAGGTCCCCCGTGCCGTCAGGACACCTGCCCCTGTGACCTCAGGACACCCCCCCGCCGTGACCTCAGGATACCCCTCCCCCATGACCTCAGCACACCCCTCCCCCGTGACCTCAGGACACCCCTCCCCCATGACCTCAGGACACCCCCATGACCTCAAGACACCCCTCCCTCGTGACCTCAGGACACCTCCCCCGTGACCTCAGGACGCCCCTCCCCATGACCTCAAGACACCCCTCCCCCGTGACCTCAGGACACCCCTGCCCCGTGACCTCAGGACGCCCCTCCCCGTGACCTCAGGACACCCCTCCCCCATGACCTCAGGACACCCCTCCCCCGTGACCTCAGGACACCTCCCCCTGTGACCTCAGGACGCCCCTCCCCGTGACCTCAGGACACCCCTCCCCCGTGACCTCAGGACACCCCTCCCCCGTGACCTCAGGACACCTCCCCCGTGACCTCAGGACGCCCCTCCCCGTGACCTCAGGACACCCCTCCCCTGTGACCTCAGGACACCCCTCCCCCATGACCTCAGGACACCCCTCCCCGTGACCTCAGGACACCTCCCCCCATGACCTCAGGACGCCCCTCCCCCGTGGCCTCAGGACACCCCTCCCCCGTGACCTCAGGACACCTCCCCCGTGACCTCAGGATGCCCCTCCCCGTGACCTCAGGACACCCCTCCCCTGTGACCTCAGGACACCCCTCCCCCATGACCTCAGCACACCCCTCCCCCGTGACCTCAGGACACCTCCCCCGTGACCTCAGGATGCCCCTCCCCATGACCTCAGGACACCCCTCCCCTGTGACCTCAGGACACCCCTCCCCCATGACCTCAGGACACCCCTCCCCCATGACCTCAGGACACCCCTCCCCCATGACCTCAGGACACCCCTCCCCCATGACCTCAGGACACCCCTCCCCCGTGACCTCAGGACACCTCCCCCGTGACCTCAGGACACCCCTCCCCCGTGACCTCAGGACACCCCTCCCCCATGACCTCAGGACACCCCTCCCCCGTGACCTCAGGACACCTCCCCCGTGACCTCAGGATGCCCCTCCCCATGACCTCAGGACACCCCTCCCCTGTGACCTCAGGACACCCCTCCCCCATGACCTCAGCACACCCCTCCCCCGTGACCTCAGGACACCTCCCCCGTGACCTCAGGATGCCCCTCCCCCATGACCTCAAGACACCCCTCCCCCGTGACCTCAGGACACCCCTCCCCCATGACCTCAGGACACCCCTCCCCCATGACCTAGGACGCCCCTCCCCCATGACCTAGGACGCCCCTCCCCCGTGACCTCAGCACAGCCCTCCCCCATGACCTCAGCACAGCCCTCCCCCGTGACCTCAGCACACCTCCCCTGTGACCTCAGGACGCCCCTCCCCCATGACCTCAGCACACCTCCCCCGTGACCTAGGACGCCCCTCCCCGTGACCTCAGGAGTGTCTGTGCGAGGCGCCCGCCCCAGTCGGGTTCCACGTGCCCTCAGCTCAGCCCTGCGAGGTCGGGTCAGGACTGGCCAGCAGGTCGGGTGCGGCCCAGCAGCGGGCGGGGCGGGCGCAGGCCAGGAGCCGCCTGCCGGGCGGGCTGTGTGCGACTCACCTGTTCTCCTTCCTTCCTTCTTCCTGCCTCCTTCGGGCGCAGACCCGGAAGCAGTGCCTTTCTGGCGAGCAGCCCGCCGTCTTTATGCTCTCCCAGACCTCCAGCAGTCTCGCTTTCTGAGCACAGGTGATGGCCCCCCCCCGCGCCCGGCCACCGGGAGACCGGCTGTGGGTGGGCCGCCGGGCCTGCGCCGGCCGCGTCCCCCCCGTGGCGCCTGCCCAGCCCCTGAGCCGGTCCCGGGGCGCTGCCTGGGCCTCAGAACTCCGAGAACTGGTTCTTTCGGGAGCCAGCTCGCCCTGCTCTCATCGGTGACGCCCAAAGCCTTTTCCAGCCCCGCTCCCTCCGGGTGCGCCCCCCGCTGCTGGTTGTCCCGACTTCCACACGGGTCCCTCCTGCAACTGTCCCCCGTGGCCCCCGGAAGGCCCCCTGAGAGAGGCCGCAGGAGGTCCGCGGGGGCGCGCGTCCCGGTGTGCGGGGCTGCGCCCGAGCCGTCCCGGCCGTGTGCCCGTCCCCATACATGTCCGCCCCGCCCGGGGCACGTGCAGACGCCCTCCCGGTGCCACGGCACCCTGGGGCTGGCCTGGCCGCCCTGGAGCGTCCGCCTTCCAGTGAGCGGCCACAGGCCTGTGGGTGGCCATGGTGGGGTGCAGGGCCGTGGGTGGGGGGCAGGGGGACCCCGGCCCGCGGGGCTCGGGTGCAGGGCAGTGTGTCTCACCTCTTGCCGGCACTTCTCTCTGCTCCTTCCTGCGCTCCTCTTCCTCTGTGTGAGAGCCTGGGTGTCTCACGCCACCTGCAGTCTTAGGGGCAGGCGGGGGGGGGGGGGGGGGACAGGCAGAGCAGGGACGGCCTGGCCAGGATGGCCGCTGGTGCGCTGTCCGGGGCGGGCCCCCACGCCAGGCCGCCCAGCGCCTCACGCTGTCCCCGTCCTGCAGATGAGTGGGAGACACCGAGTGCGGGCAGAGGCCGGGCCCCACAGCGACAGGCCACTGCTGAAGGACCTCCTGCGGCGGGACTAGCCGGGGGCTGAGCCGCGGCCCCTCCTGCTCGCCCGAACACCCGCCCGCGTCCTGCGGCCAAGCCGCGGCCCCAGCTGGAACTCGGCGTCTCGCACCCGTCCCCAAGGAAGAGCCTCCGGACAGCGTGGGAGACTCGCTCGCGTCCAGGACATTCGGACGCTGGCCCGGACGGGGGCGGGGGCAGGCCACCCTGCGGCGCGCACTGTCCGTCCCGCAGCCCTGGGGCCGGTCCCCTGCACACTGCTTGGCTCTGCGGGCTGGCCCGCTGGCAGGGCGTCCAGGGCAGTTGGAGCCGGACTCCTTGGCCCTGCGGGGCCTGTGCTTTGGGCGGCTCCGTGCCCAGGCCGAGCCTCCTTCCCTGCTCCCGGCAGAGCGAGCACCCTTGGTCCGGGCCCCCCTCCAAGAGTCCCCCTCCGCCCACTGCCCTCGGCCGGCCCTGAGCAGGGGACGGTGCTGCAGGGTGCCACGGGGCGGTCAGGGCATGCCGCGCGAGTCACACAGAGCCGTCCTGGCAGCCCCCCATGACTCGGGGCTGGGGGAGGTGGCCCCTGCTGTCCTCTCACCACGGGGACGGGCCCCGCCCCCGCCCACTGCAGCCCTGTGCTTTGCTGTCAGGACCCGCCCCCCGGGAGCAGAGTGGGGGCGTCTGAGTGTCCCGGGTCGCGCCGGAGGACCGGGATGGCCCAAGACACCTGTCCCTTGGCCTCACAGCACACCCGGCCCTGCTGGGATGTCCTGGCTGGTACCGGTCCCCCCCGAGGTCCAGGGCACCGCCCAGTCTGCCCCCGCCCACCCGCCCCCTGCTCCTCTTCTGTCCCCGAATTTCTGTGTTAGAAGCAGCCTATTGACATACTAGCCTTAACGGTCCTTATGGAAGACATTTCAGTTTAGGCTTCAGACGCGGTGGGGTGGGGGGCGTCGCTGTGCTGGGCGCGGTGGGGGGTCTGTCTTGGCCTGGCGGGCGCCGCTGCAGGCGTGTTTGAGCGGAGGGTGTGGTGAGGGCGGCAGGGGTCGGTCACCGCATACCAAAGATCAGGACTTGGGCCTTGCAGGGCGGGCGGTGGCCGCAGCCCAGGCCTCCCCACCCGCCCGCCCACCAGCCCGCGGACACAGCGGGCGCGGCCGCTCCGGGGGTAGTGTCAGGGCAGACTGTGCGCACATTTTTTTGACAAACTGTGTGTAATGTATTTTTTTAGAACTCCTCCAGTTGCCTTTACACTGAAGTATTTTCATAGCAGTTTCTATCTGATTTCTCTGTTGACACGCCACATCTGATTTCTGAACCGTCTTTAAAGCTCCTTGTTTTTTAAGTTGATGAGAAGTGGGCACTAAGTAAGCTGTGGGCAGCGTCAGGTGACCCTCCGTGGGGCGTGTGCCCGCCACCGTCTCCTGGTTTGCTTTGGTTCCCTCCTTCAGCCTTAAAAGCCCACGCCAGGGGCCACACCCTCCCCAGAAGGAGCCGGCACGTTTGTCCCGAGCGAGCGCAGCCTGGACCTCAGAGGGCTGAAGTCGGCCGCGGGGGAGTCACAGCCGGGGCTGTCCCCCAGGCCACCGGCAGGAGGGGCGTCCGTCCCCGGGAGAGCTCGTGGGTTTTGCCTTAACTCGCCTTAAGTGCGTCCTGGCGCTCGGAGCCCCTGCACTGTGTGCAGCTGACCAAGCCTGCGGTCCCCGCTTCCCCTGGGTGCCCGCGTGCCCTCTGCCCTGGCCGCTCGCTGCTGGGGCCCCTTCCCGGCCCACTGCCACCCTCTCCCCGCGACCCCGGGCGGGAAGGCCGGCATCCCTCCGGGCGCCTGCTGGGGCTGGTCTCTGACGTTTCCCGGGATTCCTTTCAACGACAGCTCCCAGCTGGCACTGACACGGCGCCCCGGGTCCTGGGCTTCCTGGGAACGGCCTGTCTGGCTGCAGTCACCCCCGCTGGCCGCTGCGGGCAAGAGGCGTGAGCGTGGGCGGGCGGGTGGACAGAGGAGTCGACCCGAGGGAAGCGAAGCTTTAATGAGATGTGCGGCGAATGCTAGGAAAGTCTGATTCTCCTTTTGCAGAAATCTAAAGATCAGTTTCTATAGCTTTATTTTTTACCTTACCGAAATATACAGATTTTAATATGTTTGTCGTCTCCGACGTCACACTGCTGTGTGTCCACGCTGCTGTCCGGAGCGCCCGTCCACGGGCCGGGGCCTCCCGCCGTACCTGTCACGGGGCGCCTGTAGCCGCCATCCACGTGGGGTTTATTTTTCAATCGTTGAAGCTAGTAGGCACAATTAAGGTTAGAATCAGCCTCCAAGCGATAATGTTTAATTGATGATGATTCATTAACCTGCTCTGAAGAATTAAATGATGAATTAAATCCAGCCTCAGCTTGTGTCTGTGGACGGCGGGGCCAGGCCTCCGCCCGTGCCCGGCTCGGTCAGCGTGAAGCACAGACTCTTGGGCCAGAGAGAGGGCGCGAGGTCAAGGCCTCCCTCTCGCACGCGGTGGGTCAGGGTTCGGTCCCCGGCACTCCATATGGTCCCCGAGTCCCACCAGGAGTGATCCCTGAGCACTGCCAGGTGTGGCCCAAAATCCAAAATTTCGTTCAGACCCGAGTCCGTTAGTGCACTCAAGCGTGGGAGCGTGCGTGGAAGCAGACCGGGCTGCAGCTGTCCGGGCGCAGGGGGCGGAGCTGCCCCGGCCCCCACAGCCAGGACCTCCCTTGCAGGGGGCTGCCCCAGGCCACACGGTATTTCAGCCTCACCCTGGGCACCCCTGGTTCCTCTCAGACTCCCCCAGGGGCTGCCCGGCTCGCCCAGACCCTTCTCTGCTGAGGCCACCAGCCCTGCCAGTCAGACAGGCTGCTTGGTGCCCCGGCACTGCACCCACCCCAGAACACTGCACCTAGCCCGGGATGCTGTGCCCACCCCAGGACACTGCACCCCCCCAGACACTGCACCTGACCCCAGGATGCTGCGCCCACCCCCAGGAACTGCAACCGTCCCAGGACGCTGCACCCAACCCCAGACACTGCACCTGTCTCCAGGACACTGCACCCACCCCCAGGACACTGCACCCACCCCAGGAACTGCACCTGGCCTGGGATGCTGCGCCCACCCCAGGACACTGCACCTGTCTCCAGACACTGCACCTGTCTCCAGACACTGCACCTGCCCCTGGGACGCTGCACTCGCCAAGTATGGCCTGCCCCTTTGTCCCCCAGCCGTGCCTGTATCTCTCTCTGGAGACTGTTTGCCCCCTCTCTGCTGGCCACTCCACCTTCATTTTTTCCGTCGTGGAACAAACATCAAAATCTTCAAATCACAATGTGCGGGAGGAGCTCATCACAGTCCCCACCCCCACCCCCCACTTTGGCTTTCTGTGACACAGCTGCCCCACTCTGACCCTCGAGCACGGGGAGCAGCCCGGGAGGGTCCAGGTGTGAGCCAGCCCCCTCCCCCACCAGGCCCTTCCTGCTGCTGCATCAAGGGGGCAGGGGCGGGGCTCAACAGCGGGCGGGGCTGGACGGTAGGGAGCGGGTGGAGTTGCTGGGGGCGGGGACCCCAGGGTTGCAGGGGCGGCCCAGACACGCGGGCAGGGCGCGGTGGGGCGAGCTGGAAGCCTGAGCCGCTCCTGGCCAGGGGGCAGGGGGTCCCCCCCTCTGGGTCTGGGGGCGCGGGAGCCGGAAGGGGACTCGGCACGGCGAGTGGCCGGCAGTGGCCAGGCAGCTGCTCCCAGGCAGGAGCCTCTGGACTCTCGAGCCCCCAAGCAGGTGGCCGCTCCAAGGCGAGGCCCTGGGTCCAAGCTCAATCCCAGACATGGCCCCGCTCCCTGCCTGAGCAGCCTGGGCAGAGCTGGGCAGCCGGAAAGAGCCAGGCGTGCCCGGCTGATACGCCGTTCCAGAACTGTCCACGAGAGGGCAGAGCGAGGGAGTGATGCTCGGCTGGAGGAAAAGGCCTGTGGGACAGTCCTGGGCCTTGGAAGCTGTCCTGGGGTCTGCACACGGGTCCCTGCGCACGGGGTCTGCACACGGGTCTGCTCACGGGCCCCTCCACTTGGCCTCCTTAGCTGGTTGACCCTGAATCTTTTGAGCTTGTATTCATTTGGCCCCAGGGAGTGTCCAGTGATGGGCAGGGGTGGGAGAGCCTCTGGTCAGCAGGGAAGAACCTGGCCCCCAGAGCAGACCGTCAGGAGCTGAAGCTGAGAGGAGGGTGCAAAGGGGGGATGTACAGACCCCGCGTACGGCCACCTGGACAACTGCCCTAAGACGGCGAGAAGCCCTGTCCGAGGGCCCCGTGGCTGGGGAGACCCGTCTGTGGACCCCCGTGCCCGCACTCTGCTGGCAGCTGGAGGCTGGCCATGCTCTCGGGACTCGCTGGTCCTATTGCTCCTGGAGTGGCCGGCCGAGCGCCACTTCCTGGCCCGCGGGGCACATCTGCGGGTTCTTGCCTGAGTGGGAACGTAAGCAGCCGCCTCAGAGCGGACGGGCTCCTGTGTGGGCCATTGTCCCAGCTTCCTGACCGCGAGAGCCGCTTTGGGGGGGCGGCGGGGCCAGCACGGTGGAGGTGCGGGGGGGTCCTCCCCCGGGGCTCCTCCGGGGCACAGGGCCGTGGGCCAGCCGGAGCAGCCGGGTCACCTGACCTGCACCCCCACCACCGCTCCCAGCAGGGCAGACCTGGGGCGCTGGGGCCCCCCCCAGCCCACAGTGTGTGGGCTTCCAAGAGCCAGGCCAGCAGCCTCCCCGTGGCCTCCCAGACACCCACTGACCCCCACAGCCAGTCACAGCTGCCCCTCAGCCCTGTGCTGGCCGTGGATGTCCGGAGTCGCATCAGAACAGCTCCAGCCACTCCCCAGCCCTGGCCTGTCCCCCCGGGCCGGGTCCGTGGTGCCAGGGGGCCTCCCCAAATCCCCGGACCGGCAGCTGCTGCATGCCTGTAACTGCCCTGGGGTGTTGCGGTGGGGGCTGGGGGCCCTGCCTAGGGCCAGCCAGGCCCGGCAGTGCCAGGGTAGAGGCCGTGGGGGCAGTTCGAACCTGAGGGCCCCATCGGCAGGTGACGTCTCTGTGAGGGAGGGGAGCGGGGTCCCTGCCTGCCGTGCGGAGCCGTGGGGACGGTCACGCGGGGCAGGTGGGGCAGATTCTGTCTGTCCCTCGGTCAGCCCCACCTCTGCTCACTGCAAACGTCCAGCCTCGGAGAAGTTCTGCCCTCACACAGCCCCGCAAAGCAGATGCTGGGGCCCATTTTCCAAAGGGGCAGAGGGAGGTGGGGAAGCCGGAGGTCTTTAGGCCCAGGCTGTGGCGCCGTCGACCCTTGACCTGTGGGGGCTCCCCGAGGGCAGCGGGTGTCGCGTCTATGAACCCGTCCCCCAGACCAGCTGGGCCCCAGAGGGGACTTGGCTGAGGCTTTCCTGACGTGCCGCGTGCGCAGGCGAGGGTCAGGGCCTCACCGCCTGCTTCTCTGCTCCCCCGGGGTTTGGCCGGCGCCACATGGAGCCTTGAGGGCCCTGGGCCATCCAGGTGGTCACTGCCTTTGGGAGCACTGGGCACAGAGCAGACGCCGGGTGCGATGGAGGCAGGAGCCCGTTCCCTGGACACTTCCACCCCCTCACCAGGCACGCTGCACGGCTGTGGCCAGTGTGAGACGTGTCCCTCCGGCTGCCCCCCAGCTCCGTGCCCGCGGCCCCGGTCCCAGGCCGGGCCTGGAGGCAGACACCGCGGGCAGCAGGCAACGGGGGTCCAGAGCAAGTGGGAAAGGCATCCCCAGACGCGGGAAGACCCTCCGCCTGCAGAGCCCCTCCCGAGGGGTGCCGGCCCAGGGTCCGCCTCCCGCTCCCCGCACCCCACTTCCTTCCCACAGTACACGCCGCTCCGGAGGCGCCTGGGGCTGCCCCACGCAGAACGGTCAGTGCTTGGCCAGCGCAGAGCGCATCCCCCGGGGCCAGGGACAATAGGCAAGCGGAAGCCGCTTCCCGCGCGGGATGCAGACCTGGAGGCAGAGCCAAGCCCCCAGTCCCCAGTTCCCGCCAGGAGCCGCTCCCCTCTCCACCTGGCCACGCCCCACCTGGCCACAACCCACCTGCCCTGCGGTCTCTGGGCGCCCCTGGGGCCAGAAGCTACGCTGCCCTCCTTCCAGGAGAGGCCAGGGCTGTGGGCGCCTCTCCTAGCCCTGAAGGCCAGGGACATCTCTGCTCCGAGGTCCCGGGGCCTGCCCCAGACTGCCCGTTCCCCCTCCAGCCACCCCTAGGCCCTGTGAGAGCTGGGGGGACCCCAAGGCGGCAGAGTGTGTGGGCAGCACACAGAACAGCAGGTGACACCAGGCCCAGCGCCAGCAGTCCAGAGAGTCCACCGTCCACCCTCACCCACCACTGGCTGGACGGTGCTCCCCAGGGAGAGGCCACTCACAGTTGGCTTGACCCGTCTTAGCTCAGCAGTGTACCCGGCGGACATCACTCGGCTCACCTGCGGCTCCTCCCCCGCTCCAGGGTCCCCTCTGGGCCTGGTCTGAGGGAGGGTCCAAACTCAGCCCAGCTGATGGCCACGTGCACAGGGGCATGTGCCAGGCGTGGGGAACTCTGGTGGACTGGGCACACCGGTGATCCCGGAGACACTGATGGATCTTGGGATCACTGGTGGATCCCAGAGATACTGATGGGTCCTGGGGACACTGGTGGATCCTGGGGAACACTGGTGGATCCTGGGGACACTGGTGGATCTTGAGGACACTGATGGATCCTGGGGACACTAATGTATTCCGAGGACACTGATGGATCCCAGAGACACTGGTGGATCCTGGGAGACACTGATGAATTCTGGGAGACACTGATGGATCCTGAGGACACTGATGGATCCCAGAGACATTGGTGGATCCCGGGGACACTGGTGGATCTCAGGGATACTGGTGGATCCTGGAGGACACTGGTGGATACCGAGGACACTGGTGGATTCCGGGGACAATGGTGGGTCCAGAGGGACACTGGTGGATCCTGGGCAACACTGACGAACCCTGGTGACACTGATGGATCCCAGAGACACTGGTGGATCTCGGGGGCACTGGTGGATCCTGGGAGACACTGATGGATGCTGGGGACACTGATGGATCCCAGAGACACTGGTAGATTCTGGGGACACTGGTGGATCCCGAGGACACTGATAGATTCCGGGGACACTGGTGGATCTCAGGGATACTGGTGGATTCTGGAGGACACTGGTGGATACCAAGGACACTGGTGGATTCCAGGGACAATGATGGGTCCAGAGGGACACTGGCGGATCCTGGGGGACACTGACAGATCCTGGTGACACTGATGGATCCCAGAGACACTGGTGGATCTCGGGGACACTAGTGGATCCTGGGGGACACTGATGGATCCTGAGAGACACTGAGAGATCCTGGGGACACTGATGGATCCCAGAGACACTGGTGGATTCCGGAGACACTGGTGGATTCTGGGGTCAGTGGTGGATCTCGGGGACACTGGTGGATCCTGGGGTCACTGATGGATCCCAGAGACACTGGTGGATCTCGGGGACACTGGTGGATCCTGGGGGACACTAATGGATCCTGGGAGACACTGACGGATCCTGGGGACACTGATGGATCCCAGTGACATTGGTGGATTCTGGGGTCAGTGGTGGATCTCGGGGGACACTGTGGATCCTGAGGTCACTGATGGATCCCAGAGACACTGGTGAATCTCGGGGACACTGGTGGATCCTGGGGGACACTGACGGATCCTGGGGGACACTGACAGATCCTGGTGACACTGATGGATCCCGGAGACATTGGCGGATCTCGGGGACACTGGTGGATCCTGGGACACTGGTGCCTGGGATTACTGATGGATCCTGGAGAGACTGGTAGATCCCGGGGTCACCGGTGGAAGGACTGCTGAGATGCTGCTTATTTTGTGGGTGTAAACAAGAGACCCCAGGTAGAGGGGCACCCCTGACCCAGGGTCTGGGTTGGGGCGAGCAGCTGGCAGCCCCAAGGATGCAGGTGCAGCCCGAGGCCTAGGGCCCGCTTCCTGGCTGGGAAGGCTGCAGGTGGCAACCTCCAGAACCCGCCCTCTGCTCCAGCTGCCTCCCTCTGGGGCTCACCTTCCAGAAGGTGCCTGGTTGCTAGGGGAGGCGTATCTGGTGTCCTGTTCCCTGCACTTCCCCCTGGGAAAAGTGCCTGCTGCTTCTGAGAGACAGAGCAGGGAGGGGTGGGGGATGGGGAAGGTGCCAAGTGAAAGGTAGGGAGTGAGGGGTGAGGGTGAGGAAGGAGGTGGGTGACTGGCAGGAGGGTGAGGGGGTGAAGAGTGAGGGTGGAGAGTGGAGGACAAAGGAGTGGGGTGAGAGGTGAGGGGTAGGTAGGCATGAGGGTAAGGAGTGTGGCAGGGAGAGTGCCGGGAGGGGGTGAGGGGTGAGGGGTCCACCCTGCCCCCGCACAGTGCAGTTCCCAGCCCACAGCCAAGGTTGTCCAGGCAGGCAAGGCCGGCAGGAGCAAAGCCCACCTCAGCACGTGCCCTCCCACTTCCCTGCTGGCCCTTGACCCCACAGCCCCCAACTGCTCCTGGTCCCCCTGTGTGAACCCGGCGTGGGCTGCCTCTTGAGACCCGGCGGCCTTGGGGTCCCTGTGCCCAGCAGATGGGGGAGGGGACCCGGAGAAACTCTGGCCAAGTCCCAGAGCCCAGTCCTGGGGTCAGGCGGACAGAGATGGGAGGGGTGCGGGGGAGAGAGCAGAGGAGCGGGGCAGGAGCCCGGCTGTGAGCAGGAGGCCGGCAGGGGTGAGGGGTCTCGGAGGCCGCCCAGGCTCCGGGTGGGGCACAGGCCGGCGGGTGCCACCGCCCCAGAGGTGGAGTGTGACCAGGAGGGCCGCGGGGTGGGGGAGGGCGTCTGCAGCCCCTCGGCTGGGCAGGGCAGAGGGAGGGCCGGTCCCGCCCCAGGCTCTGGGCGAGCAGCACCACCTGCAGCCGGAGCCAGAGACCCAGACGGGGCCCGGGGGGAGCGGGGCGCAGCCGGGCGCGGAGCGGGAGCTCGGCGGGGCGCGGGAGGGTCGGCGGCCCTGCGCGCGCGTCCCCGCGCGGTACCCGGCGCGAGCGCGATGCGGGGATGCTGCGGCCTGCGCGCAGGTAACGGCGGCGGAGGCTCCTCCCCGCGGGGTCCGCGCACCTGCGCCGCTTCCGCTTCCGCCGCCCCCCCGCCCGCGCCCCCCGCCCGGCCGCGGACATGGCCCTGCAGGAGCTGGCGCGGAGGCTGGCGGCCGTCGGCGCGCGCGCGGGTAGGAGCCGGACCTGCCCCGCCGCGGCGTCCGCGCGCTCGGCCGGGTGCGGGGCGGGGGGCGCGGGGATTGCGGGGCACTGCGGGGCACTGCGGGGATTGCAGGGGCATTGCGGGGGGCGGCGGGAGGGGTCCTGCCGCAGCCGGCGTGCGCGGAGGGCGCATTGCGGGTCCTGCTGCGCGGCGATTGCGGGGGTCCCTGGCAGGCGCATCGCCAGGGGATCGCCGAGGGGGCTCCTGCTGCAGCGGCCCTGCTGCGGGGAGGGGGGTCTTCTGGGGGGCCTGAGTGTCTCCCGGTGCTGCGGGGGCTTCTCCCCTCGTGGGAGGAGCCTGGTGTGTGGGGGGCTCCCGCTGGGGGCTTCTGGCGTGTGCGGGAGCCCCTCGGTGGGGGCTTCAGGGTCTGATGGGGCAGCGGGCACCCTGGGCCGGCTCTCCTCTGTGCTGTGCCCAGCGGGCAGCTGTCCAGGCAGTGACGTCACCCAGAGCCCAGGTCTGTCCGTGAGCCCCGGGGCTGGCCACGCCACGGAGCCGGGCAGCGCCAGGGAGCCAGTGGGGCGGCCCTCCCGGCAGGTGGGCGTGGGCCTGTGCCGGGTGGGCTGTCAGTCCCCAGAGGCCCGCCTCCTCCCGACTGCCCCCTACCGCCGCCCTGCTGCCCACCCATCGCCGCCCCACGCCCTGTCCAGGGGGCATCTCTCCGGGCTTGGGCTGCCACCAGAGTCGTTCGGAAGCAGTGGGCTTTGACCCACAGGACACGCGGGGCCATTGGCCGATTCTGTGCTGGGCACAGCAGCCCTCCGGCCCCACGTGGATCCCCGTCTGCAGCCCGCGTCCCTCCCCCGTGGACTTCCTGCGAGGCTGTGGGGTCTGTCCCCAGGGCCGAGTCACTTCCCGTGGGGAACTGACCTCGCGCTGCGACCTCTTCTCCTGTTCTGCTCTTGTTTGGGGGCCACACCTGCCGGGGCCTGGGTGTATCCTGGTGGGGTCGCAGGCCTGCTCGCCTGCGCCCCCCAGACCGCCCTTGGAGTTGCCCTCGGGGCCAGTGTCTCCTGCCCTGCTTTTTGCTTGTTTTCATGTTCTCATTCGAGTCGTTGACGAGGGTCAGGCTGTTGGAGGGAGGATGGAAGAGCCTGAGACTCGGCCCCGGGCAGGGCGGCGGCCGGAGCCCCTCCTCAGACGGCCGCTTGGGCCTTGGCTGCCTCTGAGGATGGAGACTGGGACAGGGCCTGGAAATGTATGTTTTGGAGCTCCCAGGTGGCCCTGGTTCCAGTCCCCGGACCAACCAGGGAGCCACCAGGAGCACCTGCGTCCAGGAGAGCCTCCCCCTGCCCCTCCCTGCCCACGGAGGGGCCTGCAGCCACGCAGTGACCAGCCATGGTGGAGACCGAGGGATGAGTGGGCGGTGGACAGACCGAACGCCTGCTTCTGGGGTGGTGACCCAGTGGAAAAGAGGGACTGGTGGATGGACGGACGGGGTGGGTGACGGACAGAAGGTGAGAGGCGGAGGGACCGGTGGCGCGTGGATGAGTGGACAGAGTGGACAGGATAGGAGGTGCTGCGTGGATGGCCCATCGGGCAGAGTGTGCGGGGTGGACGGATGGACGGGCAGCTGAGGATGGATGCCGGCCAGTGGACGGTGGACGGGAGGTTGGAAGGGTGGGTGAGGGGAGGGGCGGAGGAGGATGAGGATGAACAGAGCCCGGGGGCTGCTGTGCACTGGTCAGGTGCAGGCCAAGGGCGGGTCCGTGGCCACCGTGGCTGTCTGGGCTGCCGCGACGCGTCATGGTCGTGGCCATCACTGGCCGCGGCCACCACAGGGTCAGGGCGGCCGGTCCTGGACAGCACCGCGTGGAGGCTCCTCTGTAACCCTCCCCTGCCCCCGCCCTGAACCCTCCCCTGCCCCTGCCCGGACCCCCTGACCCCAACCCTCCCCTGACCACGCCCAGACCCCCGGACCCGCCCCCTGACCCCTCCCAGACCCCCCTGACCCCGCCCCAGACCCTCCCTGACCCCGCCCCGGACCCGGCCCTCGCAGCCCCGCCCCCAGACCCCGCCCCCATGCCCAGGGCCCTCTCCCCAGGGCCCTCCCGGCCACCGCCCCGGACTCTGCCTGGCCCCTCCTGACCTGCGTCCAGCCCTGCCCGTTTTGCTGGCCACGAGCCGCCTGTGGGGCAGGGCTGCGTGGGGCCTCCTTGGCCCCTGCCCTGCCGTGGGCCTGCCCGGAGCCTGCCCCGCGCCGTGTCCAGGCCGACGCTCCCGTCCGGGGCGACAGCCGTGCCCGCAGGTGGCGGGCCCTGCACGAGGTCCCGAGGCCGGGCCCCTGGGGGTCTCAGGCGCGACCCCAGGCCTCGGAACGGGGCTTCGCTGCTCTGCTCCCTGCGGGGCCGGGGGGCGGGGGCGACCTCGCGAAGCCCCGCCCGCGCCCGGTGGGCCAGCGTGGACGGGCGCGCCCCTGCCCCCCAGGGTGTCCGCGTCTGGGGGCGCCGCTGCCCTTCCTGCGCGCGCCTCCTCCCTTCCTCCGCGCGCCTGTTTGTCTGGCGGGAGGTTTCCTGCCCGGGAAGGTGTCTGGGCGCGGGGGCGGGGGGCTCCACTCGCGCCGGCCCGCAGGAAGGAAGCGGGCGGGCCCCTGTGTGGGCTCCCGGACACCAGGTCCCCCGCCTCGGCCGGCCTGGCTCAGCGCGGACGGACGCTGGACCGGCGGCAGGCCAAGGGCACCGGAGGTCGTGCCCAGCCCGGCGTGCCCGCGGGGACGTCCCCGGTGGGGAGGTGCCAGCAGCGGGAGTGGGGCAGCCCGCAGAGCCGGGCCCGGAGCACCCCATGGCTGCGGGGGGAGCCCCCCACGGGCCCCCGCGTTCCTGCTGGCCGCTGCCCCGGAGGCGCCGGGGGGCCCGGAGGCGCCCAGAGCCAGGTGAGCGGGGCAGGGGCGCCCAGGAGGTGTGTGGGCCCTGCTCGGCGGCCGCACTGGTCATGCCCACAGCCGTTTCCCCGGCCGTGCCCGAGCCCCCGGAGAGCCGGTGGTGGGAAGCCCGTGTGCCCCCGGGTGCTCGGAAACCCCTGAGCTGTGCGCCTGCCGCGGGCCTCTGGGCAGTGAGAGGGACGCTCAGACTGCCAGGGGCTGGGAGAGAGGCGACTCTGCGCCCAGGGGAACCCGCCAGGCTGGCGTCCTGAGGACCCCCATCTCCTGACAGATGGGGACAGGGCGGCGGTGCGACCCCTGCACCCCCTCCTGCTCCCCACCCGACAGCCCGTGGCACTGTGCTCCCGCTCTCTGCTCAGATCCTAGGAAAAGTGCTCTGCGGGGGGCGGCCCAGGGCCCACCCCGGGGGTCAGCGTGGGTTCCTGGGGCTCCTCCAACGTGGGCAGTGGACACTGAGCCCTCTGTGTGGGAGGGTGGCGGCATGGGGCCACAGCTGGACTTGGGGAGGTGGGAGCACGGCTGGCCCTGGCCGGGGGTTCCCTCCCCCTACGGACTCAGCGTCGGCGCCCCTAGTGCTCAGAGCCCCTTCACAGCCCTTCGTGCTAGTCAAAGCTCCTTCAGACCAGCTGGAACCCTTTGTGCTGGCCAGTCCTCCTTCCTGCTAGCCAGCGCAGCCATGGGAGTCAGTACTCTTGCATGCTGGTCAGTACTCTTTTGTGCTAGTCAGTGCTCTTATACTAGTCAGTCCTCCTTCATCCTCAGGCGAGTCAGTCCTCCTTCACGCTAGCTAGTGTTCATGTCTCCTGCCCATTTCTAACTCGGGCTTGTTTGTCTTGGGGGATCGGACCACAGCCGGTGGTGGTCAGGGCTCACTCCTGGCTCTGTGCTCAGAGGACCATATGGCGGTGCCAGGGCTCGGACCCGGGCTGGCTGCTGTCCTCTCGCTCTCCCTGTTTAGTGCTGGGCGAGGCCTTGGCACTGCCCAGTGGTGGCGTGGCCCGGCACAGGTGCTGGGCAGAGGGAGGGGCCCTCCACCACATCTGGCCTGCCCCCCCCCCCTCTGGGGCCCCCTGCTGAGGGGTGACCGAGTGTCCGGAGGCTGTCCTGACCACCATGTCCTCTTGTTCCAGCCCGGAGACCCCGGAGCGTGACTGAGAAGCTGAAGGGCTGGAGGCGACCGGCCCTGAGTCCCGCTCCTGTGTCACCTCCCTCCCCCCCCCCCCCGCCCCGCCTCTGTTGTCCCTGCGAAGGTCACCTGAGAGGCCCCGGGGGTGGGTGGGAAGGGATGGTCGCATTCCAGAGGGCCTTCGCTGCTCTGCTCTGCCCCCGAGACCTGTTCCGAAGCGGCCACCCGCGCGGGCCAGCAGCCGATGACGTTGGCGTGTGTGCGCTCGAGGGTGGAGCGCGCCTTGGCCGCGGGGAGCAAGTGCCCGGCGCTGCATCCTGGTCACAGAGAAGCGAAAGTGGACGGGCAGCTGGTCCTCGCGCAGGTTTTAGGGGCCAAAGTCCAGGCGAAGGCTAATGGGTAACCGTGCCGGAGCCGAGCCTGCGGCTGGGCCATGGGGGACGGCAGCTCGGCCCGCATCTCGGTGGCTGAGATGAAGAGCTATTACCTGTACTCCGAGTGGTGCTCCTGGCTGCACTCGGCCGCCGAGGGTGAGTCTGGCCACACGGGTGCCACCCAGGGGCCCCTCCCCGCTGGCGTCAGGGCTGCTGGCCGCTTGCCCGCAGACGGGGCTCTGGGCACTCTCTCCTGCCGTCTGCCCGGAGTGCCCACTGCCCCCCTGTCACGGTCCGCGAGTCCGGCCCTCCTGGTGCAGCCGGCACAGGCCGAGGGGCACAGCCAGAGATCGTGCCTGCCGGACGGCTCCCGGGGAGACCCCATGGTGTGGACGGGACACGCCCGCCACCGGCTGCCATGGGGTGAGGGCGCAGCCCCACTGTTTGTCCGGGCAGGAGGCCCCTCACTCTGCCGGGCGTCTGCTGGTGGGGGTGCAGCTCCCTGCTCCTGGCAAAGTGCTCCCTCAGTGCTCCTGCAGAAGCCTCAGGGCCGGGCACGGGGGCTGGTGCTCGCAGACCCAACACCC